ATGTACGAATTGCGCTTTTGGATACTGCTCTACGATTATTGTTCTCACACCTCGTAATCGTCCACTCATCACTGCAGCGTTTCGTTTTGAACCGCTTTAAATCTGTCTGCGCAAGGCGAAATGCCGAAATTACCACCAGCACGTCTTCTTCCTTCCTTGGGAGAGAGCCGTTCCATTTTGCTCGTGGGTGGAGAAGGACAGAGTGGATGGGATGCTATCTCGATGAAACTTTCGTTTCTTTCGCTCAATGAAACATGCAAAGCCAGGGATTTTTCAGCTTTTGTAAGGTGCAAACGAAATTTTTTTTCACATATTTCTTAAAAAATTATTTTTTGAGGCAAGACGTATATTATAAGAAGTTCCATGCGATATTTGGAAATATGGATATTAAAAACTCAAGCTAATGGGGGGGATTCGGACCCCATGGACACCCCCCTTATATACATCCGTGCTGCTTAGACTTAAACATTTACAAACAAAAACGTCACTGCTGGTTTCCAAAAAATTGGAATCTGGCCCTTTTCACATTCCATTTTTACTGATGAAGACTTTGAACCTTCTTCTGTAACAGTTTCTCATGTTTCTATTAATTCTAGTGAAATTCTTCGTGTGGATTAAATTGTTGAAGAAAGGTGTAAAATAGATAGTCTCCAAAGTACTAGTCATCATAATTCAAGTCATCAACGAAATCTTGATTTTTGTACACCAACAAGGTCAACTGAAAGAAAATCTAAAGAGCCTAGCTTAATAACACCTGTAGATGTAAAACCTTACCCTAAATCTATTACCATGGCTAAAAAAAGAGGTAGGAAAAAGGGAAGGTCAAAAATATTAACTGAAACCCCTGAGAAAAACCGCATTCAAGAAGAAACTATTCAAAGATTGGAAAAGACAAGGAAATCAATCTCAAATGAAATTAAGAAAGTTAAAACCATCAAAAAAATTATTATTTGTTGAATCTTCTAAAAGTGAGTGTGCAGATGATATTTCTTTACACACTGAATCAGAATGTGAAGATTTTTTGACACCTTCAATATCTGATGCCAGATATTGAAGAACAGATGGATTTTGAGATGACTGATGATACAATAATAGAGGTTAATGACTTTGTTCTTATTGAGTTTTGTAGAAAGAAAAAAAAAGTTCTATTTGTAGGAAAAATTGAAGAGATAGAAGACAGCTATAAAGTAAATTTTATGAGAAAGAAGGAAGATTCTTGGAAATTTTATTTTTAAGAAAAAGAGGATATTAGTAGTATAGATAGAAATTACATTAAAATGAAACTGCCTCAACCAAGTTTAAGTGGCGGAACAGTTCAAACTGTATTTTTTATGACATTCTCCGTAAACTTTGATTCAATTAAAGACAAAATAATGTAGAAAAAAACTAAATCTATCCAATATGTTCATTCATTCTTTTTATTATTATTTTATGAATAAGAGATTATGATTATGAAGTTAATTTTCCAAAATGCATGATCTTGTTACGTTCTCGTCGATTGTTGAAATGTGCCCCACCACCCGTTGAAAACTGCCCCCCAGGAGGGGTAGATTTCAACAAAATACATGGTTCANGAAGAAAAGAGCGGCGACGCGCGACAAAATTATTTTCCAGAATTGACGTGAAATTCCCTGAGAATTCCCGGTTTTCCAGTGGTATTTCAAAATTCCCTGATAATTCCCGGTTTCCAGAGTGAGTGGCCACCCTGGCTGAACTCAGCACAAATAAAGCGCGTCAAATGCATGATTTAAAATTTGCATGTCGTAACAGCATTATTGGAATTTTTTATAATACGTAGGAACGCATAGCAATAACTGCCGAGAAAAATTTTTGAAGAAAAAGAAAGAATTGCAAAAAAAAGATAGAAAATCAAGATGAAATCGTCACAAATAAAGTGCTCAAAAAGTGATTATTTAAATTTGCGATCTGAAACTCGCGTCGTTCTAAAAATTCGGAATTTTCAAAATAACGTAGAAAAAGCGGAAATAACTGTTTAAAAAAAATCATTTATATTTACAATAAATTCGGCTTCAAGAAAGCGCGTTAAACGTACATTTACTAAAGAATCTGTTAAAATTGATTGTGTCAAAACGTGATGACTTTAAAGTGCGATTAAAAATTGCCATTTTTTAAAAAAATTCTTATTGTTTTTAGAAACTCTCGCGGGCCGCACTTCAGTAGTCGAAGGGCCGCATTTTGCCCGCGGGCCGCAGGTTGAGCACCCCTAGCTTAGACCTTTGGAAAAAATTGATAGGTTACCTCAAATATCAATTTAGTTAATTTAAATTAGAACTTAGATTTTGAAAGCAATAAAACTTCCCAAATAATTCTTTAGCGAAAAATGTTGAAAGGTTCCCCCTTTCCCCTACATATCAGCAACAAAATTTTTTTAAATTCTTTCTGCAGTGGATAGAAAGAATTAATTTAAGCAATTTATGGTCCATCTAACATAAAGGTTTAAGTTGAGTCACTTACTATTAACTTAAAATGACTATTTTTTAAACTTCTAAGCTAATATGTCTATTTCCTGGCATTCAAGATTTGGTGAATTTCTATTTTATTTTTTTTCTCGAGCAAATGTCAATAAACTACACTGCTGTCTGCAAGATATTAATAAACGTAACTAAAAAATTTAGTTTATTTTGAAGACTTTAAATTTGAAGAAATTTTTTGGTCCGAATTGTCAAGTTTAAAAAGAATCACCCATATATATGCTTTGATAATTTTAAGAATTATGATTGAAAGAGGAAAATAAGGTGAAATGATGTTCACTTTCAATATTAACATCAGATATAAATAAATTAAAGCGTCTTTCATTTTGTCCTCTTTTGTTAATTTAATAGTAATTGCATAATAATAGCTTCGAAATAATAGCTCAAAGATAATTATGATAATATCTCAATCTCATCATATCTCAAGAACATTTTGCGTTTTGATTGAATCGAAAAAATTTCATACAATTGCAAAAATTCGTTTTTCCAAAGGTAATGCCATGCAAAAAATAAAGCTTTAAATAGTTATAAAATATTTAATATTTTTTTATATTTTTATTTATAATATGCGTTGGAAAAATTCTGAATCCCGATTTTTGAAATCTCCGTGTAGTAAATGGCGACTGATGCTAGTTAAATCTGTTGAGTCGCAAAGTCCTTCATGTTCCCATAACAAATCAATACCTCTGGGGGTACTTATCCAGGAGTTTCCTTGTCTTCTGAATTGTTTCAAAATTACAAGGCTACGGAGTTGAACATTAGTAGTCGTAAACCCGAAAATTCGGTCGGTTGTTCAACGACGGATAAAATAAAATACTAAGATATACAAATTTTATGGAAGGTAATTTTAAATTGTAAAATACAAAATTTGAATGAAATCGGTTGAATAATTCAAGATAAATAAAATTTTAAGTTGGAAACTGACTTTTTTAAAATTTGATAACTCAGAAACTAATTGATCGATTGCTCTGAAAGTTCGTATTTTAAAATTAAAGGGGTGTAAAGATATGTAGAACATACAATTCAATATATTTTACTATTATTTAATAATTTAATAAAAAATAATAAATAATTATTTAAAATTATTTTTGCTTGAAAATTAGTGTAAAAATGTTTTTTGTAATTTTATGCAAACATTTTTCAGTACACTCAAAAAGTTCTCGAGATAATGGGCTATAATCAAAGAGTGAAGTTAAAATTAAAGGACCCAAACTTTCCAACTCTCTCTCTGCCATAACTTCAGACCATATCTTCCAGATTTCGGTTGTTTTTGCATTTTGAAAATTAAATTCCTAAAACTATAGACAAACTTGTATGTTTATCCAGAACAGAATGCTCTTTTCTGTTCATTTTCGTAACTTAAAATATGGTATTGACTCTTTGTACGTGAAAATATGATTAAATCAAAAGTTAATCAAGGTGTTCCCTTTTTCCATTTCATACACTGTGCATAAAATAAGTCAATGAGAATCTGTTATGTTGATTAATATATATTTTAAGATATTGAATACTAACACTTTAATTGTTTTTCTGAATCAATCAACAATCTTTTTACTACTAAGAAAATTATTAAGAAAAAATAATAAATTAAAATATTTTGTTACTGTTTTTCTTTTTTTCCGACTGCATATTTATTGTGTTGATTAAAATATAAGCCTTGAACCCGAATATCTGAATGATTTTCCTCATTTAAAAGTATTAAAAAAAAAAGATGAAACAGTTGGAAAAATTTTTATTTTATTCTTATACTTTCATTTTGCTTAAAAATTTCAAAAAGCAATTATGTGATCCCATAAACAAACCATTGATAAACACATAACATAAAAAAGAATTAGTAAAAAAGAGGACCTGCGTCTCTTTCTGTCCCTCAGGCTTTTGTCAGATATCCCCTCCTCAGTTCTCCAGAAGAAAGAATAGTGATTTGAAAGATAAGTTTCCAAGAAAATGAAGATGTGTCTGTGGGAAAGGATTTCTAAGGGACTTTGAAAAGTAGTAAATTTCAACCATATCTTATCACATCCGGTCTCTAGTTTAACAATGTATGGGCAAAGTTAGAAGTAGTGCAGTGAAACTACAATTACATAGAATTTACAATATATTTTACTAATTTTAGTTACTAATTCTTAAAAGTAAATAAATAAAAAATCAACTACAAAATTTTTTATTAGGCATTGTAAATGAATTTGTTACATTATTTAGAAAAAAATGTGACCAGACTATTTTCCCGGCGAGACTCTAAATTTTTCCCGATGCGGGGGCTGCTGGCCATACCCGACAAGGGTGCAATTGCACCCCTGACCCCCTACTGGCACCGCCCTTCATCCGTCAACTATTGCGAATATTTCACACTAGCACTATGGTTGGTGTAAGCCCGGTTCACCTCATTGGAAGGCAAATGCTCTATCCCCTGAGCCATTGCAGCTGTTTTTTAGCAATATGTAGTTTTGATTATTTTCAACTTCTCTATGATATATTGTGATATTTAATATCTTGTTTCTTTATTTGAAGATCTCTTCAAACATGGCCTTATGGATCAAACCCAAAATTCCTCTGAGAACAAGAAGGATGTCTCTAGGATCTAATAGATGTAAAAAAAAAAACATTTTTTTTTGTCTTCTTTCATTTACATGAAGTTAATCTCTCTCTTTATATGTATATATAGACAATCAAACCTTCTTAACATCAATTTGACGGTAGACACAGAATTTTTTCATGTTATCTGTTCAGAATTGTTATTCATAAAAATCATACAATACACAGATATTTTCTACTATTTATATCTATTTGTGGTTTCTAAACATAAAGTTTTATTCTGAATATCTATTTCATTTGAAAAAAAGTTTTTATTTTGCTCTTTATATTGAATTGATAACTTATATACATATTCTCATAAATATAACTAATTACAGTGACCTCTCACTTATGCACCACCTCTTTTATGCACCTTTTTCATGTATACAACGATTTTTATGGGTCCCAGTACATTAGGTAGGAAAATAATGATAATCATCCTTTGTTTATGCGTCGCTCTAAAAATAAATTTTTCAATTATGCACCTAAATTTTTGGCTAACATTTACATTTTTACCTCAGTCAAATAGTCATGTTTATTTTGTTTATAACTTTCATAGAAAGAAAACTGCCACTGTCAAACATTTTGCCATTGCTGTGATTTGCCAAATATTAAGGCACTGCTGTCGTGAAACATATTGGCATATATGAGATTACTTTTCGTAGTTCATTTTCCATTATATTTTTTTGCTTCTTTTCAGTTAACTACAAATTACTAATGACAGATTTATTTTTGTTTATAACTTATGTTTTTTGTAAGATCAATCTAATTTATTTTTGATTAATTTATAGTTGTTCAAGAAATTGCTCTACGTGAAAATTTTCTGGAAGGTTCTTCTAGAAGTTATGTTACTTCTACCAAGTAAGAAGTTTTCTAAATTTTTTATTACTTTATAGAAGTTTTTGTTTTTGAGGTACAATTTTCATTTTTAAAAGATTAAATACATATTATAGCTAAGAATATTAAAATACATATTGCAGTTAAAGATTATTGTATTGATTTGTTTGTAGAGGGATTATCTTGGTCCTTAGCGTATGAAAGCGCCAATCATTTTACATGTTTGATGAACTATTTGCGCTTATGCATCTTCTGAGCTGAGTTCGGTGAGATCATTGCACTCTGCTACATTTTGCAAGTTATTCTCAATTTCAAGCTTCATTTTCCACCCTCTGATATCGAATCAAAAAATAATTCTCGATCATTTCATATTTGCTAGTATAATCAAAAAAAGAATTCTTTGTCAGAAACTAGTTATTTTATCATGATCATGTAAAGTCTTTGAAAATTATTTTGCATTTTGTTATTACATATCGTGCTTAAAGATATCTTTTGAGTGCTTAAAAAGTACTTAAAAGGTGCTTTTTTTTGTTAAAAGATTTGGCTATGCACCCTGTTAATGTGATGTAATTTATTTTCAAATATTAGTGCAAATTAATATGCATCAAGCCTAACATCATTTTTAAGACCTAAATTAATCTTTGTATTATTATTATTATTTTTTTACTTTATTTTAAAATTTCTTATTAAAAAATACGTTTTGGCTAAAATTATATTTTTCGCCGCAATTTTAGATGGTGCTAAGAACTGTTTATAAAAATATGCATCAAGTTATCAAACTTAAACTAATCCCTGACTTTCATAAAATTTAGTCAATTGCTTTTTTTTTCTTTCAATCTTTATGTTTCTAGATAAAATTTGGTCAAATGTTCTCAACCCATTTAGATAAAATTTTGTTTCTTTTGTATATCTAGAAATGTTAAGACAGGCATTTTGATGTTGAACATGGGGGGTCCAAGTACTCTCGATGAAGTGGAAGCATTTCTGACCAGATTATTCACAGACAAAGATATAATACCTTTACCAATGCAGAGGTAGGATGTTTCATTCAATTCTTATGCTGCTTTTAGAGTGTAATATCATGTTTTTGGTAATGCAGGGTTGGCACAGGCGACTAAAATGCAACTATTTTTGGCATGAGGCGACTTTTTGAAACATAAATTGGGAGGACCCCTCAAGATAGTTTCTGAACACACTGAACTTTTTTTTTTCTCTTAAAAAATAAAAAATTTTGAATTGCAAATTTGAGTCTTCACTTTTTAATTCGTTCAATCTGCACAGACACCCATTGTAAGTCTATTTCATTTCTCGATTGCCATTTCAATGATTATTGCTACAAAATTCCACATGATTTTTTTAAAAAAAAGCAATTTTTAATACGATATTACAATGCGGGAATTTCGATTTTGAGTAATCACTATTCATATATATATATGTACAGTCGAAAGTGTTTATCTTGAATCTCACGGGAAAGGCGAGAAATTCGAGATAAAGAGGTTTCAAGTTAAACAGGTACTATAAAAATTTTTTATTTAATTAAGAAATTCTATTAAAAGTGATTTAATTATTTTTAGTAGAAAAATATGAACATTTCTTTAAATTAATTATTCCACATACGTCTATTTACATAACAGTTTTTTAACATACATTTAACACTGAAAGTAATTTTTCCAAGATTTTTGACTGATAACCTTATTAGTTTCGATTATTCGTTTGAGGTTAGAAAGATCGCAAATTCCTCATAGCCAACATTTTCCTGGGGACATTTTTCAAGAGCAGTTTATAAGAATTCTACAGCTTTTTCTACTTCTTTTGCATTCACTTTTGATTCATTAATATGATCTTCAGCTTCTTCATCTGATATTCCTTCGACATTATCTATGATTTCCGCATCTGTCAATGTTCCGTATGTTGCAAGGTAGTTGTCCACTTGTAAAAATCTTCAAAATTAATGTCGACATTAAATCGAGATTTTGTTACATTCCATTCTGGCAAACCAGGCACTGCATTTTCAGCGTTAACAGTTTCTTCTTCTTTACTGATGCCTTCAACCTCTTATTCATCATCTTCACAGCTATTTTTAAAACCATTTTGGATAGTTTGAGACACATTTCTCCAGGCAAAACAGTTATTCTGATAGCATTTAACTTTTTTTATCGATAACATCTACAATTTGCGTAGCAACTGTTTTCTGTAGTTTGCTTTAAAACTCTTAATTATCCTTTGATTGCAATTTTGAGGTCAAAATGAATTTCCATTCTTAGCTTTCTTATCTATGCTGAAAAGCTAACCCCTGATGGTCACTACTCATTAACCCTTCACTTACTGCCAGAATCAGTGTGTTCCTTTTTAGTTAAGGAAGTGCAGGGATAGTAACGAAATTCCAAGAAACACCCCCAACCTGTTCATCCCTACTTCCTGTGGATTCACGAAATTCATCTCTGTCTACTGATAAAGAAAGTGCTCTATTATTAGAAATTCAAGAAACGGAGGTTTTGAAAAAAAATATTCGGCATAAATCTGGAAAATACATTGATTTTAGACAGTAAATGTTGGAAATTTTAAAAATTTCGAGATATAGAGGTTTGAGATAAACAGACAGGTTCAACTGAATGTGTATATATATATATACAGTAGAACCCGTTTAAGAAGTTTTTCAAGGGAGTGGAAAGAAACGACTTATTAAACGGGAAAACTTATTAAACGGTGAAACTTAAAAACACATTAATAAAAAACTAAAAAATTTGAAATTGTGTAACTTATATTAAATTCTCAGCCTAATGAAATAAATATTGAATTTTAATATTCATTTAGAAAAAAAATTGCTAATAAATAAAAACAAAGTAACCTACTTTATTTTTTGTTTCATACAATGTAATATACGTTGTTACAATAATTGACTAGATTTCTGTGAGAAAAAATCGTGTAAAGTGGTTTGTNTCCACTGTATAAACATTTACGTTTGTATAAAAATTGCCATATTTACCACCAACTTGACTGAATGGATCATGGTATATGACAATTAAGTCATTAACAAAATTTTAGTCATACTTTTGATGATTTCTTGTTGTTATTTAGGCAACTATTTTCCTAGTTTTTGGCTACTATTTTCATGTTTTACGCTGCTAAAAGCAACTATTTTGTTCATTTTTTTGTGTGGCAACCTTGGTAATATGATTTTTAGTGCACCATTTAATTTCTAAACCAAACAAAGCATATTATTTTCTTTTCTTCTCTTACATTTAGGAATTTTGCCAGATTGATAAAAATTATTTTTATAAAAATGGGTTGTAAAATTGCCTCAATTTTTTTTTCTTCTTGCCAACTTGCTCCTGTTCATGCTATTCAGTATCACATATTAAAATCCTTAGAAGCAAAGAAAGAAACCAATAGTACTAAATCTTCTGTTCATAATTTACATAATTTTAGTTTTTCCTATTTATTAAATCAGGGATCTGTCCAGGCCAAACTTACTACCACTTAGCGGTACCGTCACAAATTTAACTTTAGGAAGAATGGTAGTTTCACAAAATACTTTTTCTTAAAATTTTATTTTTGCATCCGGTAAAAAATTGTAAATCCCTATTTTTACCATATTTTTGTGTTGATTTTTTAATTATAATTTGTAATTTTCTCAAATTATGTCTAAATTTTCACAAAACCTAGACAGACCCCAGTAAATATTTTTATTTAATGTTTTGCTTGACGTGTGACAAGTCACATAGAACAAAAATAAGGACTGCCTGATTTGAAAAAAATAAACAGCCACATTTAATTCTAGGAAAATTAGTCTAAATTTAATCTTGGAAAATTAGTGGAAGTAGAGTAAGTAAAGCATTCCTGTACAAGCCAGTTGTTCATGAAGACTTCATAGTCTTTACTATCTGATGCTCTATGGGGTTCAAGCTGGATTGAACCTTTACAATGACAGCCCAAACTCACAAATTATTCCATCAGGTTACAAAACAGAACAAGAACTGAACACTTTGAACAAAAACTAACAGATAATACACAGATAATATAGTTCAAATTATGTTTATATTTGTTGGCAACTAATCGGAAGTCTGTTCTTATATCACAGACAATCCCCTAACAATGAACTGGAACGTTCTGAAATACACAGTAAAATATTAACCAATTCTCGATGAACGATCCTTTAATCTCATTGTAGTGTGTCTATCACTACAAAATTCCAATTCACTAGTATATAAGACATGTTAACTCGATTCTTTGTTGGAGTACCTTTTCATGGATGTAGGTTGACAATTGTCAATAGCTGCCATCCCCACATGGGTGACCGGCCGTGCTGTGAACACGCCTACTTTTGCAGAAACGCCCACTATTATTTGAATCCGCCTACTTTGATGAATAGTACACATTGAACAGTTGACTTGCTACTTGTGACTGCGAGCGACATTGCCCTATTCACGCGGTTGCTTCTCAGTCTTGAACACGCCTGCCTTTGCAGAAACGCCCACTACTATTTAAACACGCCTACTTTGATGGGTGGTACACATTATGTTCACCACTACAAAAATGTAATTCCAATCTGCTAGTATATAAGACATGTCAACTCGATTCTATGACAGGGTACCTTTTCATAGATGAAGGTTGACATTGCAACTAGCATTTAGTTCAGAAAGTGCGATAACTTGGAGTTTTCTTGTTTATTGAAGTTATACTTCTTATGCGACTTCCAACAAGGTTGCGTTAAACGTTTAACGCTGCATTTTTATTGGCCGGGAAATCACGTGGTAGGATCCAGTTTTCCCTCATTCATTTCCATATTGTTTTGGTTCTCACTAGCATTACAGTTAAAATAAATATGGTTTGCACAAAGTACATTGCAGAAGGTAGCAGAGATAAATAATAAAATGAATTGGACACTTTTATAAATTCTGATTTTCTTGCTGCTAGAAGTGGTAAATTAAATTTCTCATTTTCAAACTCCACTAAATGTTTTGAAAACATAGCTTCTTCATAAAAGTGTATTTGCTTCTTATGATAATTATCTGTTATTGAATTCATGCTAATCAATAAAAGAAATTTATTGCAGGTTATTGTGTTTTAATATCATTTGCAATTTAAAATAGCAAATTATTAAAATGCTGTTTTTTTTTAATAATATTTATTTTAATAAAAAAAATTTAAAAGAAATGTTTCACTCTGTAAAAGATATTATTTAACTAGAAAAGTATTTCGCATAAATTTATATTTCGCTTGCATTAAAGTTCTTTTAAATCATTTCTATAAATATTTAATATGAACAATATATTCTAAAAAAAGAAACTATTTCATTTAAAAAAAAAAATTTCTAATTTATTATAATTTAGCTAGTATTATTGAATAGATGCTCTTATTTTTGATTGTGGTAATTTGTTTTCTATATTAAGATTTTCATAAGACTTGAAATAATGTACTTAAAGAAGATATTTTCTTTTAGCAAATTAGGCCCACTTATAGCAAGAAGACGAACTCCCACAGTTAAGCAAAAATATAGCGAAATAGGAGGAGGATCACCTATTCTTCGCTGGACTAACACTCAGGGGAAGCTGATGTGCGAATTATTGGATAAAATAAGTTCAAAGACTGGTAATTTACAATCTTAGTCATTTGAGACACATTTAAAAGAATAACTGCCAGAAATGTTTGTTCTTTATACTGTGAACCGTATACCTTAATTTTTTCTATACCCATCCCATTATTGTTAGTAACTTTACTAATATTCCCATGATTGTTAGTTGTGTAAGAAAGTTTTATGGGATGTTATATTAATGTAAAAAATTTACGCTCTATTTAAACTAAGATTTTCTTTGCACATGTTAGAAAGTCTTACATATATCTTGATTTCAATTTATGTTATACAAAACAGTTTTAAATCTATCATTCCTATTTGTTGCTGATGATGTGTTTGATAGACTTTATTATAAAAAGATTAGGATTTCAGAAAATATAGATTAGGACCACCAAACCTGGTTGATCCAAATCATACGTCATAACGTTGTTTAAAAAATTGTACAAACTGAAACTCCCTGTTTTCCTCCTACAATTGCATTGTAAAGAATTTTATTTTTGTATTTTTAAGTAGATCACTATTGAAAAATGAATGAAAACAATTTTATTCAACTAATATAATAGGTTACTTGTGAAAAATCAAATTATCTTTTTTCATTGAATTGTTGCTGCTCTGTTTTTTTTTTGTGTGTGTGTGTTATCTGTATTATACTATATGACTAATATTTCTGTTATATTTAGCTCCACATAAGCATTATGTGGGATTCCGTTATGCTGAACCTTTAACAGAAGACACTTTGGCTGCTATGGAATGGTAAACAAATTGCTGTATTTGTGAAAACATAACTTTTTATTAAACTGATTACTAAATTGCTGTTCAATTTGGCAGTTACATGTTTTTGGCAATGTGACCCCTCCTCCCCTCGTCCGTAAAAATAAGCTATTTACAGGGTATCTGCGCACCTGGAAAGTCATGAAAAATCATGGAAAGTCATGAATTTCGGTATTGAACGAAATTTGTCATGATTTTAAATATTTTTTAAAAAAATCATGGAAAGTCATGGATTTAGGTCACCGAAAAGTCATGGAAATAGGTCACCGAATTTTCAAAATGGATTTTACCCCCAATTTCATGGTGTTCCGAATATCTGAATTTGTAACAAAATTCCCACTCACACATATTTTATTAAAATATAAAATGTTTTTATCACGTTCTTTCAAAATTATGGTGTTTTTTCAAAAAAGCAAGCAGCCAGTCATTGGCGAATATTTTTTATTTCAAAATGAGAACAGAAAAATAGCAGATACCTTCTATTTACAAATATCTCTCTTGTTTACTTGAAAACAAGGCTAACTTCACCCCCATTATTATTTTTTATTTCATTTGCACTTTTACTGTAATCTAGAATAATCATCGTAGAATAAAGAATAATTCAGGCGAAGCGTTCGCCACCGTGCCAAATGCCACAATATTGTAAATTTGGCAAATAAAATTGTGTTTTGGCAAATACCTTTTTTCATTGGAAATAAAAATGTATATAAAAATTTTTAAGATTTACATTTGGCAAAGACTTTCAAAAATTGACAAATACTTTTGATATTTGGCTAATGATTTGAATTCCTTAGCACAGACCCTGTTAATTAATAGGATAATTTAGTAATCTAATTTAAAGAATTTGTAAATTAAATTCAAATAACTTTGCTTTAAACAAAATATATGTTTTAATTCATTTTATAAAAATTTGCATCTCCTTTTCTTTCCTCAAATTTAGTCTTTGTTTCAAATGTAATGTCTGCCAACTTCCTTTCTGAATTAGCATATTTAGGTTCAAATTAAGAAGCCTATAAGCATTTTTTTTATATATATAAATGAGACTGCTAATTATTCTATGTTATTTTTATTACTATTTGTTTCTTAACTCACATGCGTATAAGGATTGAATCTTGTATCAAAATTTTGACCACTTTCTGATCAGTTAAATCACTCAATTCTCAATTGGTTCTTTGTGTTTAATGACAGTAAAAATTTTAATTATTACTTCTACGAGATAAAATTGTCAAACGATTTTTTATTGTCAATCACAATTTGGAATATTTTCTAACTGGTAGAGTGTTTAAAACTTTATTTTCAAGCCTACAATGTGTTTTTGTAGCTGTTTTTCTTATCAGGACAAAACATCTGTATTTATGTAAAAAAATTCAAATATTCACTTTTCTTTTAACTTTTACTGTTTTATACTTTTAAATTTATAATGTCTGGTTGTTAAACATTTGGGAGTTCAAATAAAACAAATTTAGGCTTCAAATTATACCATTTACCTGTTAGAAATGGAGTGAGAAATATGGCTGATTAATGTATTCATTCATTTGAATTTCAAATGAATGTTTTTAAAATGTTTTAATAAGATGAGATTTCTTTACTTTTTAATATTTTAAATATTTCATACATTATAATGAAAACTTTCCGACAGTGCAAAATAAATTTGTTAGATTTAATATTCGAAATTTGAATAATAAAAAGAAATATTTATTAATTTTTGAGCAAATCAAAACTCGTCTGTTTTGTTATTAAAAGTTTGACAAAGCTCCCATTTACTAATTATTGAATGTTTCATCACGTGCCTTAATTTTATTGTATCTGAAAAAAACTGACATTGTTTTAATTATATCTAACTACATTTAACCCTCGGAACCTCCTAAAAAAACCGACTGCAAAAAATTTAAGTTAATGCATATTATGGAAGACCAAACGAGAAAGTTTTAACTTATAGGTAAGACATTATTTTCCCTGAATGAAAAGAAAACAAAATATCTAATTTCAGAAAGAAAGAAAAATAATTAAAAGAAAAAGTAATAATTAAGTTATCTTTAAGAATATGAAAATATTAATCAATAAAAAGCTGCATTTAAGAATAGAAACTCAGTATTTCTATATTCAAAGTTGCGGTTATCAAGATGGCGGATGACAAGACGAAGATGGTCAGAGTCACCAAGATGGCAGATGTCGCTAGTTTACCTAAGTATCCAGGGCTTTAGAAGCCACCAGATTGATTGGTACTTGCTTGTCTGGGAAGAGAAGGTGTGTAATGCTGACCTCATTGCCATCTTCATGTCTCAAATTTCTGGAACATCTTGACTGTCACAATATTTTTTTTGAGGTTGGAGTAGATAAAAATCATAATTTAAAAAAAAAACAACTTTTTTTTAATTTTATTTAAACCAAATTTTTTGATTTAAATAAGATTTTTTTTCTAAAAAAATTTCTATTATATATTGAGCAATTGAATCTGAGATAAAATTGATAAATAATTCTTTATTATTTTAAAAACAACCAACCAACCATTAAAAATTGTTTACTAACATAGTTATTTTGGGTGTAACTTATTATTTTCCATAAAATTAAATCATAGTTATTCTTTTGAAACTCAACAATTTATCAAATGAAAAATAAATTACTCTTGGTAGAATAAGACTTTTATCAATGTTTATAGGCACAAACGACAGATTTAATAAGTTCTGAAAGTACAGGTATTTAAATAAAGCTAAATAGGCATAACTAAGATGTGTTTATTAAAGAGCATACAGCTAAAGGAAAATAGAATTATTTAAATGTTACTTTTTTTCAGGTTTAGTTATTTTTTATTTATGTATTTTGATCATCCAATAACAATTTACTTGCACACAGTTTCATTATTTCTATTGATGAAATTTCAACATGATTACAATCAGACTTTGAAAAAAAAAATACCTTATACAATAAATCATAAATATACTCTTTAGCATATACAGTTGTTCCTCATTTACGCGAAATCATCGGGACTATCATAATTATTTGATGCTTACCGAATTTTGTTTTATCCAATACATCGTGAAATAAATTTATTGTGTATTATTAATACATGTTATGTGCTGCATGAATGTGTGCATGCAATACTATTATAAACCAAGCAATTTATAAGCGTAAAAGTTTTAACTACTTTATTAAACTATTTTATCTCGACTATTTTGTTTATTTGCCCATCTGCTACTTTCAACAAAGGAAGAAAATAAAAATAGCATTCCTCAAAATGAATTATTGGGATTTTATTTGCATGCTTAATATCTGAGCAGTTTTCTTGCATGTTATGCAATAATCAGCTTCATGTTAAACATTTAAAATACAACATGACTCACAGGACGTGTTGTTTCGTGCTACTGCTGAGGTTCGGCTGTATTTGCAATTTACATAGAAAAATTTTTTTTGATTTACATATATGATTTCTGAAAAAGATTAGTAAAGTTTAGATTTAGTTAGTTTAACTAACTAATCAGTTTCAAAGATTAGTTAGTTTAGATCTGTAAAGATTAGATATATTTGAAAATTTTGTTTTTTTCTTTGCTAGTGATGGTGTTGAACGGGCAGTTGCATTTTCACAGTATCCTCAATACAGCTGTAGTACTTCAGGCAGCAGTTTTAATGCTATTTATAGATATTATCAAAAGAAAGATACTTCTTTGAAATGGAGTTTTATCGATCGTTGGCCTACTCATCCTCTTTTGGTTAAGGTAATACTTTTCAATACATCCACTCAAGTTTCAAATACAGTTTTTTCAAAAATTAATTTATTCATTAAATAGGGATGAGAGAAAAACAAAATGGAATTTTCTGATGTCATAGTTTTACTATAAGTGATTTCACATATTTTAAAGATTACATCAGTTATAGCTCTATTTAAACAGTTTATTGCTCACATTTAAATATTTGGATAAATTCAATAAAGAGCATTACATGGTGTAGTCATCAAAATTTATACTTTTATAGTTGTCTGTTATCACACGCTTGTTCCTTCTATTGGTTCACACTCTCCCTTCTTCAATCATTAATAAAATACTTCAAATAGATTCTTTTTTTGTTAATGCAGTTTTTTCAAATATTTATTCATTAATTAATCTATTTTAGTTTTGAATGGGAGAAAAAATTGTCATTATTTTATAAAAAGTAGCTGAAATAAAAATTTTCTTTGTTGGAAGCAAGAATTGATTTTATATTACTTGTTTTTTTTTCTTCGTGTTTTATATGTTGAGAACTTTATATGTACTGTGCACAAGATAAAAAACACTTTTTGATCGGTCCTGTCTTGACAAAAGCCCTCCTCTAATTAATCAATATTTTTCCAATTCAATTTTTAGTTTAAATTTTCTACAAAAAATCACATTTTTTCTTATAAAAATTAAATAATTTTTTTCTGTTAAAAAAATAAAACAGATAGATTCAGTAAAAAAAAAAATACATTGAAAAAAATAGATTTTTTTAAAACCATTGTTATTTTTCATAATTAATAGGAAATGATCAAATAATGAAATCACACCACTATGAAAGAGTTTGCTTGTTTATATTTGTATCAACAAAATTAGTATTGTTAAATCTGCTTGAGTTAGTATTTTTTTTCTCTCGATATTTCGCGATTTTGAGTAAAAAATAAATGAAAATTTTTATGATCTTGGGCAAAATATTAATAAAATGAAAAATAAATAAAAATATAAATACTCAAAGAAAAAGTCAGAACGCAGCAATTGGTGCAAAGAGATATACAAGGTTATTTGTTCGCTGTAAAAAATAAATTTTTAAAATTAAGGAAGTAAAATTTTTAGAAAAAATAATCAAATAATTGCTGTATAGTCCTCTTTCATGGAAAGTGAGATAGAATTTTCTGAAAAATTCTGTTAAATAACAGACTGTGCTCATTGGTCAAAAAATAAGTTCAGTCTTTAAATATTTTTAGAGTGATTATAATAATGATAATGATTGAATCGTTCCAGAGGTCAATCTTAAAGGGTTCAAGAAGGTGACCTCATATGCTAATTAATTAGTGCAGATACTAAAGATTAAGTTACAAAATCAGACCCTAAAAAATACTTTTTCTGACTTAACATATTTTTTTTTGACAGATTTGTGACCTCCAAAATTTAGGGGGTAGCCTCAGTTTGGGAAATAGAGTTCCCATTGGTGAACAGCGGTTTTGTGGTTAGACTTAGAGGTTGGGCTGCTCTGACGAGCAAGGCACATCGACCAGAGGTCTATTGTACCCAAACCCTAGTCGTGATTAGCAAGAAAGCCCTATAGCTGAAATAAAGTTCAGCAAGCACCTTACAGGAACATCTTGCAGTTCCCAGGCATTGACGCAATGCTGCCCTAGATGCTCAAATCTTTGAGCAGAATAAACATCACAATCACAAAGTATGTGTCGTGATGTCTCTTCTTCTAGATGACATCCCCAACAAAGAGAATTGAATTCTATTCCCATAATGTTTAGGTATCTTCTGAGGATACAGTGACCAGTAAGAAGACCTATGATCTTCCTTACACTGTTTCTATTAAGTTTTAAGAGCTCCTTTTGACGTACACTAGGACAGTCTCGATTCAACTCCTTAGCTTGTCTCTGACCATCAGCAGCGCGCCATTGCTCATGGGCGATCTTGCCGTAGAGCTTGAAAATGGTTGCCCTAAATGAGGAAGGAGAAATTCCCAGCGCAGGTTCAGGGCCCCAGAAAATTGCATTAGAGCCAGCCCGTGCTGCTTCATCAGCTAGCTCATTTCCACCGATACCCATATGTCCTGGTACCCAATGCAGGGATACCTTGTTATGAGCGGACAGGTCACAGAGGACCGAGAAGCATTCCCACACTAACAAAGAGGTGAATTTACCCCTTTACAGTGATAGGAGAGCAGCCTGACTGTCAGAACAGATGCGGATAGTCGTATTTTGATATCCTTTGTCTAAGCATAACTTGCAGCACAAGATAATGGCATAGACCTCAGCCTGAAAAACCGTGGCATAATTTCCGAGGGGAAAGTGAAGTTTGGTACCATCATTGGAGCAATAAATTCCTGCTCCTGATTTGCTTTGAACCATCAGTGTACCATATTAGGCATTTGCCTTTAAGCCACCGAGGAGAATTAAATCATTCATCTCTAGTAGGAAAATGGATCTTGAAGGGCTTGTGAAATAGTGACATATAGTCACTAGGCATAATAAAAGAGGATAAATCCATCACTTGTGAAACAAGATGTCCCCATGACAAGTGTTTGGAATGCTCTTTCCTTAGGCCAAGGTACATAAGACGCTTTACGCCTGTCTGAGCTTCAACTTCAATGCGCAAGTTCAATGGAAGAAGCTCGAGTAAGCTCTCTAGAGCAGCTATAGGAGTGGTCCTGAGACAGCCTGACAGGGCTACACAGACCATTCTTTGTAGTCTGTTAAGATTAGACCTTGCGGAGCTCAATCTAGTCCTCGACCACCAGACAATTGCGCCATAAGTGATGATAGGACTAATAATCATTGAGTATATCCAGTAAGCTTATTTGGGAGACAGTCCCCATATGAACTACCAATAGCATTTCTGCAAGACCAGAAAATTTTTCTGGCCCTGTTGGTACAGTATTCAAGTTGAAGACCCCAATTTAGTTTGAAGTCAAAATAAACCCCGAGAAACTTGACTTTCTCCGTGAGTTCCAATTTATGGTCCAGGTAGTATACATTACCTAGATCAAGTTGCCTTTTTCGTGTGAAGGCTACATAACTTATCTTGGATGAATTGACAGGTAAGCCTGATTCAGAACACCATCTAGCTACTTCTAGGAGTGCATTATTCATTATATCAGAGACAGTTTTTCCGTGTTTTCCTCTGACAACAATAACACCGTCATCAGCGTACCCGATACAGGGAATGCCAAGAGCAGTTAACCGAACTAACAAGGAGTCCATTACCATACACCATAGGATAGGGGACAGAACCCCTCCCTGGGGGCATCCTGCGGTTGCATGCACTTTCATGCTTGCACCCAATAGAGAGGAACAAATATACCTATGCCTAGAGGATAGCAAATTCGCTATCCACTTAGTAATTATTGAGTTTATGCCTCTGTTCCTAAGTGCATTGATGAGAGTCTCAACAGGGACTTTATCAAGCGCACCTTCAATATCAATGAATACCGCGAGAGCCATCTCCTTATCTTTAATAGATTTCTCAAGCAGGTAAGAGAGCTCATACAGAGCGGTGTCTGTAGACTTGCCTGGTTGATAGGCATGCTGTGTGAAGGACAGTGGCCTTTCTATGAGCACAGTGTCTCTGAAGTGTCTGTCAATTAGCTTTTCGTTCGCTTTCAACAGACAGGAAGTAAGGCTGATTGGTCTGAATGATTTAGCCTCAAAGTAATTCTCCTTCCCTGGTTTTGGTATGAAAATCACCCTGGTATTCCTCCAAGAGAGAGGTATATACCCAAATGCTATACAGGATCGAAAAATCCTACATAGAATAGGGGCCAGTATATTCACCCCCTGGATAAGCATCATTGGTATGATGTCATCCATGCCTGGTGACTTGTAGGGCTTAAGCGACTTTATGGCCCATACAACCTTCTCATAGGAGACCACCATTTTGGCGGCTTCCCAGTCATTCCTACTACAAGTAGTTGTGGTAATAATGTGTAGGTTTTCATTCTCCACAGGATGAGATCCAGGGAAGTGTGCTTCAAGTAATTCTCCAAGAGCCTCTTCCCCTGATTCACTGTATCTTCCGTTTGTAAGACGCATGGCATTTGAACTGCAATTAAAGTCCTTAGTAAGAATTTTTGCAATCTTTGCGGTGGCAGAAGTAGTGTTTATGCCATCGCAGAAAGTCTGCCATGAGCGACGTTTAGATGCTCTGATCGCCTTGTTATAAGCAGTTAGAGCGTTTCTGTAGGACTGCCATTCACCAGATTTCTTTGCTCTGTTAAATAACTTCCTACATTTCTTACGTAATTTACTAAGCTCAGAAGACCACCAAGGAACTCGCCTTGGGGAGCTAGTAGACGTAACCTGACAAGAAATATGATACGAATCGAGTATGATCTGTTGCACTTGGTCAACAGTCCACTTCACATCATTAACATTATTGTACTTACCTGAGAGGCGCCCAATCTTCCGCTCCAGAGCTGCTCTAAAGGAACCCCAATCAGCTTTTCTGGGGTTCCTCCTTACGACCTTCAGTCCTGAGAGGTCTTTAATAGAAAAAGTAATTAGTTGGAGATTTGAAGCAGTAACTGCCCCAGATACCTTCCAATCAGTAACGTAATCTGCTGAACTAGAATTACATAAAGTAAGGTCAATGACTTCCCTTCTGTTACAAGTAACAAAGGTAGGTTCATTGCCTTTATTAAGGACATATAAATTAAAAAGTAAGATATGTTCCATAAGTACATCCCCCCGCTGGTTACAATTACTGCTACCCCACACTGTGTGGTGAGCATTTGCATCATAGTCGAAGATGAATCTACAGCTTGAACTACAGTGGGCAATTAGGGCCCTAGTAATGTCAGCTAATGGTTCCTTCTCGTCATATGGGAGATAGGCTGAAACTATGACAAAATCAGAGATTGTCTTATTGTCATAGAATTTTAGCTTTACAGCAACTAAACCTCTGTTAAGAAAGTTAACAAGATTAAGGGCATTTAGATTAGACCTAGCCACTATGCAGGTTCTGGGAAGGTCACAACGGGTATCATAAAAGATATTAAAACCTTTAACAGTGAGACCCATTATTCTACCCTTGCGGATCCAAGGCTCTTGTATAAGAGCAACATCTAGTTCTCCATCATTCAACCTTTTTGCCATAAGGCTTGAGGCAGCAATGCTATGATGGAGATTAATTTGACCAACCTTGATTGTAGCCATTGGTTAGCAGTATGAGTGAAACCAGAATAGCTATCTATCCTGGTAATCTTTAGAAGAAAAATCTTCCTTTAACAGCTCCATTGCTTCATTAATACCAAACATAGAAGCTGGTGAGTCAGGTTGTAATGTTACATCTGACCCTGAGTCCAACCCAAGCTCTGAAAAATCAAGAGCCCCAATTGAACTTACCTTTGAATCAGGGGAATTGGTCGGCCAAGGTTCATTCTCCTGTTCCATGTCCTCTTGAACATCAGGTTCTACAGAGAGGTCCGATGTTGTTAGAGCCGCCACTGCTTTTTTCCTGTTAGGATCGTGGATAATCTTAAAGACACCACGATCCACCCCAGTTAGTGCGCAAAAATTTGCCCTCGCAATTGCCTCAGCGTCTTCAGGCTCTACCTCAAAGATCCATCTAGAGGTGCCTGGTCCCACAGCACTTTGCAGAACCCTCCACCCCATAGACTTCCACCCTGGGTTTAGTCTCCGAAGACGCCATAAAAAGGTGCTCTGATCGGAGAATTGCTCCTTTGTTTTGAAAGCAACCTTCACGGGCTTGGGTAGCTCGTTTGCACCTATGACCTTGAGCATGAGGTTACCCAAGGCTTTATTGTTGAAGTGGCCTTTGATCCACCCTACAGTAAATTCATTACATTGTAAAACCAGCGCTCCTCTTTGGAGGTGGTTGCTGCAAATATCCCCACTAGGGGGAACCGCTCCGCTAGATTGGGCTTTCCTCCCAGGAACAACATCCTCCCTGGGCTTCTTTCCTTTTTGGGTTAGCGCATTGGGAGATGGAGTTGCACCAGAAGACCTAGGTCTCTTAGCTCCTCCATACACCGCCATGGCCCTCATTTTCCTTAACTTTTTTTTCTGGCTCGTGGAAAATCCAATGGTACCAGACACACTGTCCCCCGAGTGCCTTTGGGACCAGAGACTCCTACAGAGAAAGGGCCTGCACCTTTGGACGTCTCACCAGCTTCTGAAGTAGACTGCAAAGCAGCAATATTAGCACTGGGCTCACCCCAGGGCTTACCATATGCTACTGGAGACTGTATAAGACTTTTCGAACAGGAACCTCTGCCTGATTCCTGATTTTTGATTACTCATCATGTGTGTTTGCCTGCCATTTAGTTACCCAGTGAGGGGTATTCAGGGGGCACCACGTGGAGGCGGCAGGCATTACCCCCCTTTGTGGTTATAACTCCCCCTATATTGTGTTCCATTAAATAAGAACAATTTTTTAATCTATTTCCATAATTTTGATTTATTTATTTATGATGCAAAATACCTTAAAAACTTAAAAAACGAATGGAATGAATGTCATGATGCATCACAGGAGAGCAAAGGTTCTCAAAATAGAGCAAAAAAGTAAGTTAACATAGACCGTTTTTCTGACTAAACTATTGGAACCATTTTTTCCGGATCGTGGCTGTTCTATATTAAGGTCAAGAATCTGAATCTGTTGAAGGAAAAAAAAATTTAATCGTAGAAAGTCTAATTTTGTAAATTAAAATATAGTCTGGCACAAATTAAACCTCATATTTAAAGTTAGGCTTTCAAACCATTACAGGGTTCCCACTTCACATCGAGAGTTTAAATATTACCTGAAATGAAAGAGAAAATGCCGGGAATTTTTTCTTTACAAACAGGGAATTTTATTTCTTATTTTTCGTCTTTTAAAAAATTGTGACCACTCAAAGCGTAATCTATGGGATATTTAAGCGCGATATTTCACTTATATCAAACTATTTCATTTACTATAGCATTATTTAAGTATGTTCAGCTCTTTTCATCCAAGTTTTTCCGTCATTTGAAATTAGTGTAGTTAGAGCTGACACAAGAGCACAGTAATTGTGTTTCCTATTAATATAGTGTGTGCATGGGAAAACACAGGGATTTTTTTCTCCAGATTTGAATTCTGGACTGTATTCTGTGTATTTCTGTTTAAATATGTATTATTATTTACAATATCAGGTTTTTAATATTGATTTTTTTTTAATTCTTTCAGTGCTTTGCAGATCTTACACTGAATGAAATAAATAAGATCCCTGCTGAAGATCAAAAGAATATGGTTATTTTATTTACAGCACATGCTCTACCAATGCAGGTTTTTGTTATTTATTTATTTTTTGAGTGGGCATCTCTTGATTTGTTGATCTATTATTTCAACGTGTAACAGGTTTTTATTTTTATTAAATAAAAGTTCATTTTTATCAAGCATTGTTCAACCTTTTGGCTTCCAATTTTGCGTAAATGTTTTTTTTTTTTTTTTTTTTTTTTTTTTTTTTTTTTTTTTTTTTTTTTTTTTTTTTTTTNTTTTTTTTTTTTTTTTTTTTTTTGCAGTTATGGTTTTGCGTTTGTGTACAATCAAGAAAATAGCAGAAAAGTTTCCCATGCATTTATGAATAGAAACATTGATTAAGGGCTGTGACAAGATTTATTTGATTTACAGTCCAAAACTCTTCAAAAGTACATTTTGAAAATAGTTAACACACTTAAAAGAAATTATGTTTAATTTAAAATTACAGTTTCACTCAATTTCTTCAAATCACTCAATTTTTTGTATTTTTAATATTATGAAATATACAATTATATGGATGCATTGAGTGTACTCTAATAATACTTATAAAGTCCATAATTGTTTGAGTAATTAAAACAAATACAGCCGTTTCTTTTATATATATATATATGTATATATATATATATTTTAGAACTTCATATTAAACTTCTA